ACGGAGCTGAGACAAGGTTTAGAGGAAGAGGAAGTAAACATTTTGAACCTATTAAAGAACTCACATTGATTTCTGATTATGAATGCGATGAAAACATATACGGATGTTTTACCTGTACAGCTTTTATCTTCTTGGTCTTCCCATTTTTGTAAATTTCTGGTATTTTTTCCACAATTTTTACATCATACCTCAATGACTTCATAAAATGCTCAACATCATAGATACCGCGGAAACCACTGCACATGTTAAAGATGTGGTTACAATCATGTAATATTTTATGGAGTTCATAGAAACCACCATTCAATTAACAATGAGAGCACAGTAGACACATTACTCACAGTTCCTCAGAACAAATACCTTTGTTTTTCCCAAGAAAATATATTATTTAAGTTGTTACCATAAAGTATGAGGGGATATATTTATAGGAAATTATGCCAAAAGTTCTACAGGAAAATACATTCATGCAGTTATGTTGAAGCTTTAAGTTTCCGTTCAATAATGCCAGAAGTTGGAATTTAACTGCTCTAGTTACATTCAGGCCAATGAATAGGTCAATATATGATTAAACCTATTTCCTTGTGAACCACTGGACAAAAGTAGCTGAGCTACCCTACAGAAAGACCAATGATAGGTCTTCCTTTGGTGTGCTTGAGATCTCAGGTTAAGAGAAAGAGCACTGCATTGTGATGTTATCCCATCTAATGAGCTCTTAGGTTGGTTTGGGTGTTGCCACCATCATGTAATGCCTTATTTGTGGAGGTTCTTGTGGTGGAGGGGAGAAGACAAGGATGCAAAGTAGGTGTGGTTTGCTAGCCAAACTTTGGATGATATTTTTTTTATAGGGCATATGTTGGACACTGGATGGAAAGGAATAGTTTAATCATTGAGGGGATGAAGGGAAGTCCATGGATTGCTTATGGAATAAGGCTGGTTCTGCATTCCTGCAAGTATGAAGAATATAATTTGAGGGAACCCTTGAATCCACTTGTGGCAACAAAACCAGAAAAACTCAATATTGGTCTTTAACTATTGAAATATACCTTAAGAAAATCCCCAAGAGAAGAGTCCTCCTAGATCAACTAACAGAACAAACTGAAAAAACTAAGGCCATGGTAATGAATTTTAAGTGCCTAGATGAAAAGAAGAAAGGTAATGCCTTATCACTACAAATCTGGAAACATCTAATTCCTCCATGTTCATTAAAATGTTACAAACTAGTAACTGAGGCTGCTAATTATATGTGGCACATCAACCCTGTAGCTACATGAAATTTACAATTCTATCTACCCTGTCTCTTTTGGCTTAATATCAGAAAATACAAGTTAAGAATGAATTTGAATACACAAGGTGAAACATAATGTGTATATGTGAGTTGAGGGTCAACATAATCATTGAAAATAGATACCTATCATCATGCCAAAAAGAGTTTGCATCCAATTCAGGCAGGACAAGTGTAGCATTCATGATTCTTGCTGCAAGAACTGCATTGCAGATCTAAAACATCCAAGAGAATAACAGAAAGCAAATATTTCCCTCGTAAGAACATGGGTGACAAAAATGTAATTAATTACATATCATAGGGAAAAAGAAAAAGATACAAACCGCAGTACGTTGTTGATTGAGACCACCGTTACAGCGCACACGTAGGTAGCCGTTAGTCTCACTTGGTGGAGCTGCCACAAAGTAGTAGCATCAAAACATAAAATGATGTTTCTAGAAACTAAAGCATTCTAATTATTGAGGAAAAGAGTAAAGACATACGAGGCCAATCAGACCGTGGAGCTGATGATGGTCTCCAACCAACAGAATCAGCACTTCTCCAAAGTTCATCTAAAATCATCTGCATATACATGGTAAGAGAACTCAGAGTCAAAGTTTCAACAAATAAATAGCAGGCAGCTTCACTGTTACGGTAATTTTTTAACAGAAGATGTCTGCCTCGAATGAAACTTTCAAAGAGTCTTTTGAACACAACGGAAGATTAAGGTGACAAACTAAAAATGTTATCTCACCTTTGTTATTCGTATTGTACACATAAACATTGCAACTTTACCTTAGCTTCCTTCTTCCCAATTAGAATACACCATAAAAACCTTCTAGTAATTTTGAGATAAGGATTTCTCATCATCAAAAGTATCTAAGAAGGGTACTTCGCAATGTGATTTTTTGTCTTTTTAAAAAAAATGGTAAAATTGGATATGACCTGAGTACTTTATGCTCAATTGCATGATTTGTTACATAATCTCTCTTCATAAATCAGTTATCTTGATCAACCTGTTAGAGGATATTGGATCATCACTCTCATTTTCATCTTCAGTCATTAGAAAGAGTGGACAAAGTATCAATTTTCGGTTATCAATACCATTATCTTTACATTATGGATCCTGAATTTTCAACAATCACCCATAAAAATGATGATGTTCAGCTAATAGGTGGCAAAAGAAAACAGCAAGGGCATTTAATTCCATGTGTCATTTGCACGCATCCAAAAATAGAACTCCTAATTTCAATGTATCCAAGAATCAGTAGCATTTACCAATCTCTTCAACTAAGATTAATTAAAACTAATCCCACTGCATGAGGTGAAATGTATGTAAAATAAAATTTCTCAGAAACCAAACAGGCCAGACTTCCAAAACTAAAATCAAACAAAATCATTCAAAGCCTCAGCTTCCAACTAACCTTAGAGCGAGAGCCAGATCGAGCGCCGCCATTGCTCGTCGATGTAACAACCAAAGAAATGGTGCAGATCAAGACAACCACAACCGCGATCAATAGCCTCCCAATCATGCCCTTCAGCCCTCCTCCTCCACCTCCTGCTGGCTTCGCATGCTGCCGTTGCTGAAGCCCCTGTCTGCATCAAATCACCCAAGAAAAAAGTTTGGGTTCAATTGTATTTGGTTACCGGGAAAGTTCAGAATCGGAGGGAGAAATGGGTACTTCAGTTGCCTTCGCATTGCTTAAGCTGCTTTCTTACAGTTCAACAGCCACTTACTTTCTTTCTTTAATTTCGGTGTCACTGAATCCTGCTTATCTCAATTCTCTACACACGAAAATATGTTTCAGTTGTTGACCGGGTCGGGTCGGGTCAACTAGTAAGTTATGTGGCCCTGAACCCAACTCCACAATCTAATCTATCTCATGATTCGAATAGATCTTTATTGAGAGATTATTCTTGTTAAAAATACTCAAATTGAAGAATGTTAGTTATCTAACTATGATGAAATAAATGGACGAACACAACATTTTTAATAAATAAAGAAATATTCATGATTATAATCACGTGGCTAAATGAGTACCGATTTGGATATAATTTTATAGAGTTGATTTTGAATGATGAACTAAAAATTCAACCGTTCGGATTATGAAATTACATTGAGATTAGACCAACATGAGTAGTTAACGTCATATTAACTTACGAAGAGCAACCACATTGATAAGGTGTATATGGAGGTGTATGTCAAATATACATATTTGGTTGCCGGAATGTCCTGTAATGGGGAGATGTATACGACTGTAAATGTACATCACAGTCGTGAAGTGGGAAAAAATATGCAAATGTACATCTTATTTTACACCCAACCAAGTGGGTCCCGTAACAAAAAAGTCAAGAAAGAGGAGAGAGGAAAGTTGCCTAAAAGATGGAGAAGTTATTAAAATGGTGGGCCTAGGGCGTGGCCAAGATTTATTAAAATGGGGAATTAAATTGATGCAAATGTACAAGGTTCTTCTCCAACAACTCTCTAATATGAAACTAAGAACTACACTGTACAAGGTTCTTCTACATCATATTGAATGAAATTATCTATTATCGGAATATTAAAATTTTTAGGTTAATTTGTTTAGAAAAAATAATTAAACCTAACACACACAAAATCAACATTAAAAAAATTTAACGTAAAAAACGAAATAATACATGCAAATCGGATTTACATATTTGAATTTGAATCCAACTCATTGGAGCAAAAATGACATTTGCATTTCTCGAAGGCGTAAAGGAGATGTACATCTCCGAATTTACACCTCCCCACTACAGATGCTCTAACTGATTAACGTTTTTTGTTACTTGCTTTAACTACTCATGTTAAGGATGTGGGAGCATCAACTCGGTTCCTGTGGGCCTTTGATGAGCGGGATTTTGTCTTTATTCATGATGGATTGATTTGTCTAGAGTCTAGACTGGATCTCGTGGTTAGTACCAACAAATTGTGCGTGTGTAGTTCGAAATCTTTGATGATTTCTTAGTTCATTAGAGCTAAATTTCAAAATATTATGTATGTTTAATCAACTTTGTTAATTTAACATTGGTTAGTTTAGCATATCTACAACACCCCCTCTCCCCCCCAAAAACTCCCCAAGGTTAGTTTAGTGATCTAACTACGGAGTTTCAGAGTAGCAATAAGAGACTAAGCACCTTGATTGAACACAAGCTAACCACTTCTAAAGGAAATGAGCTGAGTTTCAACCTTTGTGATGAGTCCGAGTAGGAGAAAGGGCAGAAATATAGAGTAGAAGAAGAGGAAGGATGGCAGTAATAACAAAAGGTTTAGAGTTACTTAAGAGTCCATGCTGGTCATGGGACGGTTGGTTAAGTCAATAATGTTCATTGGTAATACAAACCCCCTTGTATTTCAAGCAGTGTTTTTTTTCTTTTCTGGACTAATAATCAGATAGAGAAATACAGCAAGCTCGATTGTATTTTCTTCTTCCTTCTCTCTCCTTTACTTCTGCATCTTTCATCTTTGTTATCAGGGTGGAAGGTCCCATGGCCATACATAGTTCAAACATTAGTAACAAAGTGGAGGTGGAGGTGGAGGTGGAGGTGGAGGGAAGGGTCCTTTAAAGCAAGTTCATAACTTGAAGGCACCTGCTCGTTGTGATTGGTGCTTGTAGCATAACACAGTATACAATTGATATTTCAGTTTGAAGATGTGCTATTCAATATCCTACTAAAACTGCAATGAGTTTATTTACTACAAAAATGATAACCTTTTCCAGCACTTGGGGGAATTTAACCACTTATAGGACAAACTTCAAGCTCCAAATGCCATGTTCATACAGCTTTTGGTCAAACTGATCAACAATTAATTTTGACAAAAAAAAAAAGATCAACGATTCCAGATTAAAAAATGTCGTACAGAGAACATACTTTTTCACAGAACTATTTTGACTCTGATTACAGTACCACATACTTCTAATTCAACTATAGATCCAGTAGAAAACAGAACAATTTTGCCTCTCCCTGATGTGTCATGCCTAAGTATGTCGCTTCTTTGCAACGGATTGCTCCACAAGATACCTACATCAGAAACCTCACTAACTTAGCAGAATTGCCATAAACCATTCCAATTTTAAACAATCAGTTTAAAGGATCACCAAACACCAGATTAATTCATAACCATGTATATCAAGCAATATAGATCTCGATCTCTATGGAAGGTAGGGAAGATGGACAGTGTTCTTCCGGTGTACTGGCATGTGAAACCAATAAGTTTATACTGAGTGACATAAAAAAAATTTTGTGCCATGTCACATGTTTCTGTATAGTTTGTATAAAACTACCCCTCAACTGAGGGGTCAATTTCAAGTTGATCACCACACCAGACTTTTGAAAACCCTTCAAAATCAACCCTCAGTTGGGCTGACCATTAGTTAGAACCATTAAATGTCTTGTTGGCAGCTGGATCCTGTCCCATTTTTTCACTCTTATGTGGAATTCAAGTTTGAGCCATATGGATTATTTAATGCACATCAATAAAAAAATAATTAACAAGAACATCAAAACTTCTATAAATATTAATGACTAAAATTTGGGCCATCTCATGGACAGCTCCACCATAAAATCAAACCCCTCCCATTCCATTGTTCCCAGCGTCTTTCCCCTCCCTTCTACGCTCTATTCCACAACCTCCAAGGAAGAGAGAGCCCATATGCTTCCTTTCAATAAGATCTCATCCTGCTCATGAGCAGGTTTTTATTGTCTTTTTGTGTTTTTAATGTATTTTTGGTTTGTATGCTATTTTTTAAATATTTCTCAACAGTTTTGCTACTTGTTTTATTTTCTTGTCACCTGACATTAAGTAATCCAGATGGCGCAAACCCTGAATTCTATATAAGAGTAAAAAATGGGACCCGAAACTGCCAACATTTAACACTTCTAACTGATAGTCAACCTAACAGAGGGTTGATTTTGAGTGTTTTCAAAAGTTTGGGGGACCAAAATGTCACGTTTTAAAGATTGGGTACTAACTTCAAATCAACCTCTTAGTTGAGGGGTGGTTTTAGTAATTGACCTGAAAAAAATTTCAGAGCTCAATGGATGTACCTCAATGCATAATCAAATGTGTCTATGAGCTCATTATATTGCTGGCCCTACATATATGTCCAGTGAAATGGTAGACGCAAAGAATGGTAATAAACACTAACTTGTCCAGATGGAATTGAACATTTAAAAGTTTTGTTCTCAACTCCTACTGAAATTCAAGAATAAGAGCAATAGATATAGACGAACCTGTAAAATATCATGTCAAATATGCAATGCAAATCACATAAAGCAATATGTTTGGTAACCAAATCATATATAATGAGAGGCTGACAACAAAGTGTAAAGAAATGGAATGTGAAGAGACTATTCAATACAGCTGTCACATGAAACAAAAGTAACTTGAGCTCAATTATAGATTAAAATTAATAAATTTATTTGAGCTTAAATAATTTGAAGTAGGGAAATGATTACGTACTTGCCAGTAAAGAAACCTGCAGAATACCATGCATTTAATACAACAGTAAGATCTGTCTCGGAGCTAGTACTTTCAGCCATTTCCCCTTCACGCTTCTCATCCTTTTTATCTGTATTTTATGTAAAAAAGTAATTGATACAATCAGAGAGGATAAACTTCCATTTGCTTTAACAACATGAAATTTATAAAGCCACCACAGCACCATCGTTCAGCCATGGCATGGACTGAAACAAAAATATACTTCAACTTCCCAAACCAAGGTTCATTTGTAGTGATTGTGAACTCATACAAGGTTATTGAGTAGGTAGTTAATGTATCAGACTTGACTTCTATCTTTTGTTGGGTAATGGTAAGGTTGAAATCAAAGAACAATATGTTTGCGTCATTGATTGAACAGCCATGGCCAACCAGTAAAACTAAAGCCCTTCAATATACAATCTTCTGTCCTAGGAGAATCATACAATAATACTACTTCAATAACGTACAGGGCTCATAGATGATATATCCATAACATAGAGGCATATGTATGTACTTATGTTTTGTGTGTGGGTGTGTGTCTGTGTGCGTCTGTGTTTGTAAAGCGTAACAGCATAAGAGCAATAATATCAACAACATAAAATCAAATTATCTAGAAGGTGAGTAAATACAGATTTTACAAACACCATATATCAACAACTCTGGGCCTCTGGCCATCCAAATAGTTAATTTAGATAACCAAGGCCGACTATCTCACCAGGTCAAGAGAAAATTATTACCTTCACTTATATTGACGAATGAAAATTATATTATACTTTTTCTTTCATAGCTATATTTTTTTTAGGAGAACTTACAAACAAAGCTTCTAAGTGTTAATCCTGTTATTTCATGGCTACTTCTTTAAATGAACCATGATCCGGAAGATATATTTATTAAGAAGACATGCATACCTTCACTTATATTAGAATCACCAGAAATTTTCATTTTCATTGATGATAATGCTCTTTCTGCAGTCCCCATTGCTGTCTTGACAATTTGATCATCTTCAAGAGAAAATGATTGCCCAGGGCTTGTTGCTAAACAAGCATTGGTACAAGTTCTACCAGCACATGACCCACCTGGTAAACTAGCAGGAAATGAAGTGCACGGAGCCATCAAGCATTGACAAAGATACGGGCAACATGAGCAGACAACAGCTGGATTAGAAGGTTGGCATGTAGGGACTGCTTGCTGCTGAGAACTATAAGCAGTATCCCCCTGTACAATGGAACCAGAAACTTCACCAGAATATTGATAATTCCAACCACCAAACTGATGAAGCTGCTCTAGTAGCTTCTGTCTTTTCTCCTCAACCTCATAATACTGGTTGAGTAACTGGTTATAATCTGCTGCACCTTGTGAATATGAATAGTCAGTTTGCACATCCTGAGCAACTTGTGAGTAGGGCTCAGGTACATGCGAATCTACAGGATGGTTTTCTTTCACTTCTGAAAGATTACTGGTCTCTCCAGCTTCTGCAGTAGTCTTCAATGTGTCATTACTATGGTCATCTGCATCCCCTCGTCTTTTTAAAGCACAAGAAATGGTCATATGCATCACAGGATTCAATAAACACTATTAGATACAATTTAAGGTTTGCATACCACACTAGAAATTATTACCAGGTGAACTGAGCCATACATTGCTAGTGGACCCTATCTTATGCAAAACTATGGTTTTTCAAGCTTAATGAGTTCTATGCATGACATTCTATAAGTGATGGTTAGCTGACTTCTAGCCTTCCTCTGTTAACTTAGCTCTTTTATGCACTATATTAATTAGAAAAGTGCATTACATGATACATAATCCCAACACAAAAGCAAGAATATGCACTGTTTTCAGTCAAATTTACATATATACAAAAACAAAAACAATAAACTGAAACCCATTATAAAGATACTATCATTGCACTCTTGACCAGAAACCAAAAACAAAAAATATATAAAACATAAGAAAAATAAAGAGAGAAGTGACTACTATTGCATTTTTTGCAAACTTATAAACATTCCGGCAGTATTTTCAAAGGTATGACGAAATTAGGTCTTGGGATGGACTTGAACAATGGAAATAGAGGTGAATGAAGATGCTGCTAACCTGTCTAAGACTACTGCCATGCTGATTCTGCAGAAATTTATCTTTTTTATTTTCATTATTTCCTAAGCTATATAAAATAAGTAAGAAGCATAAGTCCCGCATCGATCGAAAGAAAGAAAAATCCCTTCACTTGACTGATCCAATCCCACAGTTTGTTAGATAGGGTTGGCTCTGGGCCCGAAATCAGTTGTTTGAGCGGTGAAAATATTCAAGACAATAAAGCAGGGTCCAACAAAAAAAATATCACAAACCCCAATCCCACCAATCCATAAACACCTATATATGTAAGTTGTTCTAGAACTAAGCCTACCAGAGTCGAAGTTCCAACCGCACTATCTCAAAAATTATTCTCCATCTTTTGATTATTTATACAAACCTCCATGCACACAATCTCTGAACACTTGGTCATTGAATTCAACAACTCACACCACTATATAGTAAAGTTCTTTTCAAAATCTAAAATAAACCATTTAATGCATATAAGAGGCCCAAAAATTTAAAACTATACGCAATAAAACAACAACAATACTTTTCATTTTGTTTTAAGCTTTATGGGAAGATAATGGAAAAATATTCGTTTACAAATTACAGATAACAGGAGCTATACCCAGCTCGTCAAAAAGAAAAAGACATTTAAAAGAAAATAAAATCTATCAGTCTAAGGGTAACTACACTACTTAACAAAACCAATATTCTTCTTCTTTTAATGAGAATCCAAAATTCACAATCTACAAAAGAGAAAAGCTCTGCCAAGTCATAAGCTCACCTTTTAGCCTCCTCACTTTCTTCAACCGCAGTAATGACTTGTTCTGCTGTGTTGATGGCAACTTTTTCTTCCTTAGTTGAAGCCTCATTCGTTTTCTTGCCATGCATTTTCTGGAAATTAGGTGACAGCAGATATTATAAGGTCAGTACATCAAAGAAAAACATAATTGTGAAAAAAATAATAATAAAATCAATTAGGCAGTCCATGATTCTCCAATTTTAGGTCTTTCAATAAAAATCAGTATCAAAATTGTGCCCAATAAAATGATATTGAAGAAAGCACAAGTCTACAAATGAAAACAATTGCGGTCGAAGCTATGGAGGCAAGTAAGTAAGTAGTGCTCTTCTCAAGATACTGAAGCAAAATACAGAAGCGAGAGAGAGAGAGAGAGTTGGAACCTTGTAGCTGGACATGGCGTCGTCAAAAGCATAGATCAGAGCTGAATCGTCCCACAAGGTACCTTCCTGCTTCCCCATTTTTAACTCTCCTCTTTCTCAGTATCTCACGTAGACGCTGGGCACTAATAGAAAGAGCGAAGAAAAAAAGAAGACCCCTTTGTCTCGCCCTCCCTCCCTCAACCTTCTTTTCACGTTTTTAACTCCGAACTATAAATAAGAGGAACCTTTGATTCAGCCCAAAATTAAGGAAGTATTTATAAATGAGGACAAAATTCTAGTGTTTGGACAATAATGCCCTTATTTATTTTTAGATTGCCTAAGGAGCCTTTTCTTCTGACCGAAAAAAAAAAAGGGAGCATTTCCTCTATTTTTTAGATGGTGCCAAAAAGTCTTGCTTCTTGCTAGCCATATGGAGCCAAAAAATTGGATTTTCTTGCTTTGATACACTTTGGACTGATGCTACATCTGCTTCTATGTTGCTAGGATGATCTGTTCACGTGAAATGAATTTGATGATGCTTCTATCATAAGGCTTTCACATGGAGTTATTATGCTTCTATCATGTTGTCTATGTTGTGTAGCTCTTCTTCTCCTAAGCTATTCCAGTATGAGTTGTCGTTGTCTTCTGCTTCAATTTGTTCTGTTATCTTCGATTACTCATCCAGGGACTCTTCCTATAAATACAAGACTCAAGCTACATTCAAAGGGTTCAAACACCAAAACAAGCCTCCCACGGAGCAACTTATTTTCTTCTGTAATGCACTTTCAATATCTTTACTTGCTTTCCTAGGAGTAGTGTTAGGTTGTAAGCAGAATACATTCATCAATATATCATACGACCCTTGATTTTCAAGGCGCCGGAGCACCATCTCTGTTTGTTCGCTCACTCACCCCATATATCACACGACCGTCGCTCCCTGAGCAGCGCGCCGGAGCACCGCCCAAAACCCACCACCAACACCATCACTCAACGGCCTTGTAGTTCAGGCCGTGAACCTAACAGCCGAGACCAGTTCCTCTCTCGGCTACAATCGTTTGACCAAGAAGACAGATCAAACAGGCGCACCATTCACCCATCCAACGCTCATCAAAACAACAACGCAAGGTAAACCGTGCTGGCACGGCCGCGCACAACCGCACCGCATCCAAAAGCAGGAAACCCCGTGTTAATGCACGTCCCCTCGGCCCGGAACTCCAGGCCGTGAGATTTGCGCCGCAGACACCAGTATGAGTTGTCGTTGTCTTATGCTTCAATTTGTTCTGTTATCTGGTTATAGATTTCATAAAAAACTTTTGCTCCTATTTTGCTTATCCTGAATTCATATGTGTCATTTGGTCTCCTGGATGTAGTCTCTGAATAAATCTTGATAAAGTTTGATTGGTGAAGGAGGTTCAGACGATCATCATTGAACAATTGTTGCTCCTTTGTATTTTTGAATATCTTGCTTGGTAGAGGTTGTTGAGACCCGAAAAATCCAAGGCTAGGCCCAAATATATTCCCGGTCCAGTACGATATCTTACCAAGAAGAAACCCAACTTGGGCACGCGAAAATTCGTTGTACATGCTCGCACGAGTCATGATCCACAAGCCACACCAAGCAAATATGTAACTCGTCATGCCAAGAGTTGTAACAAGCCTGTAAAATGTACCAGCTCTATGAACCCATGCTTATTACCTCATCAAACGTCATTTTGACTCGACCACAACCCCTTTTACAAAACAATAAAATTCGAGCACGAGCACGCCAAACAACATGCAATGCCAAGCGGAAAATCCTTATTTTGCACCTAGTCACGCTATAAGCTTAAGTGGGCCTAAGCCACGCAAATGTACAGGACTTGCTGAGTGGGTTGTGGTATTGATGGTTACGAGTATTCATGAGGCCCATTGATGAGCCAAGAAGTGGAAGTTTTGGGCTGCTTAGAAGCCCCAAAAACTCGAGCCCATTTCTTGAGCCCAAATATGTGGGTAAGCATGAAGGAGAGAACAAATAACCCATCACCTTAGAAAATTGGCCCATCACCTTAGTAAATTAGCCCATCACCTTAGGGAGTGGCCCAAACAACTTAGAAAATATCTGAAAGTCTCCAGCACATGGCCAAGAGGCAAAACCAAGACAGACCATCTGAAAAACCCGAAGGATACTTGCGTGTGCAAGCTGCTGGGAGCGAAACACCCTTCAGACCAACACCATTGCCCACTTCTTTCCCCCACCAGCTCTTGCCATAAAATAAGGGAGGAAAGAAGGAGAGAGTGTTGTCAAAGATAGGAGGTTGACACAAGGACAGCTACGGGAAGACTCTAGACCTCCCAAAAATCTTGTCTCTGTGTGTTTAGATTAGGGGGATTTCACAAAATGGGGATGAATCAAAGGAAGAGAAGAGGATCTTCCATGTCATCTCCCATGAGTGCGGAGGTTGGGTAAGCCTAGATATCTATCAGGTGCTTTACTGATCCTTTTAGACCTATGTAGAGGTTGGATGAGTGTAGGTAAAGGGGCCGGATTGTCAACTGGATCTGACTCTACTTCAGGTTCATGAGGCTCTCCAGACTCTTCCTTGAGCTCAACATTTTGCACACAGGTGCCATCCAATGCAAAATCACTCTCAAGAAATCTTGCAGATCTTGCAACAAACACCTTTTGTTCTTTTGGATGGTAGAAGTAGTATCCTAGTTTCCTTTGGATATCCAATGAATCTACACATTTCTGATTTAGCGTCTAGCTTGTCAATATCATGCTTCTTGACATAAGCCGAACAACCCCATATATTAAGATGATTAAGACTTGGCTTCCTCCTAAACCACATTTCTTATGGTGTTTTGGGCACGGATTTGGAAGGTACTCTGTTAAACAGGTATGCTGCAGTTTGAAGTATATATCCCCAAAACGATACTGGCAAGTCAGTATAACTCATCATTGATCGGACCATGTCCATCAATGTTTGGTTTCTCCTTCCGGAGACACCATTAAGTTGTGGAGTTCCAGGTGGAGTCCACTAAGATAGGATGCCATGTTTCTTGAGATATTCAAGAAACTCAGTACTCAAGTATTCTCCTCCTCGATCTGATCTTAGAATCTTGATACTCTTTCCTATTTACTTTTCAACTTTGTTCTTGAATTCTTTGAACTTTTCAAAGGCCTTGGACTTGTACTTTATTCCCAACTGAGAGTAATCATCGGTGAACGTAATGAAGTAAGAAAAGCCACCCCTTGATGCAGTGGACAATGGCCCACATACATCAGTGTGGATTAATTCAAGAAGCTCAGTGACTCTTTCCCCTTTTTCTGAAAAAGGCAAGTTTGACATTTTGCCTTGAAAACAGGATTCGCTGGTGGGCATAGGGACTGAACCCAAAGATTCAAGGTATCCTTGTTTGACCATCCTTTGGATCCTATCTTGGCCAATGTGTCCTAACTTTAGGTGCCAAACTTGAGTTGGATTGAGTTCTTCTCTGGCCTCTTAGGTCCTGGCATCTTAATCAAGCAGTTGCTATTTTCCATAATTGTTGTAGAGACCATTGATCATAGTACATTTACATATGATTCGATTGCCTTGTTGTAAAGAGCATCTCATTCTACTGAATGTGATAGTGTAATGTTCATTCAGCAATGCTGAAACAGATACTAGGTTCTTTACGCAACTTGGAAGATAAAGACATTCTTTAAGTTCAAGTGTCTCCCCATGTGGTAGTTTAAGGTGGAAAGTGCCTACTACTTTTGCAGATATTTGGGTACCATTACCGACACGTAGCACTATTTCCCTTTTTTGACAACTTCCTATGATTTGCTAGACCTTGTAATGTATTGCAAACGTGTCTGCTAGCTCCTGAATCCATTATCCAGGTGGAAGTTTCAACTGCCATTACTGACTCAATGACAAAATTGCTCTCTTAATAAGTTTTGTTCCTTGTGCATGAAAGATGTACATTACATCTCTTCTTCCTTTTACAATCCTTATGAAAGCTAATCCCTTTTGACATTATATGGTTCATTTGAGGCTTGCTTTGTGTAATGTGTTATGAATGGGGTTCTACAGAAATATCTACAAACATAACAGAAATTAGATTGTTTTGGTTAAGGCCATAGATTTAGGGTCTTTAAATTCTATAGCTCCTCTCACTATTTTAAACGATTTCCATAATCCCTCAAAAATGGAATACGAGAGACTTATGTAAGATGTCTCTTAGCGGGATGGGAGGCTCCCTATTATTTGGATCACCGCACCATAATAGGATCTAGGGATAACACAAATAATAAAGAGAGAGTCCTTCTACTCATTCACATCATGATGTGAGTTCCCATATAATTTGGCATCTAGCAAATGTATACCCCCGAATATTATCGTGAGGCACCATTTTACTAGTTAAGTATTAGCCCACCATTCTTGCAAAGTATAGTGATACAATCATGAACCTCATCATAATAGAATTTTAGTCCATGTTTAAGCCTATCCTTGCAACATCCAATGTATAAATGAATTCTTCCTAAGCAAGAACATCTTGCTATCAGCCCCCCATATCTAAGGCAAAGCCTTCACAAGGGTCAAGCCTATTCAGAATTCACCATGGTGGAAGGCCACGACTAGGCTTTCAAAAAGTCTATCGTTTTTGTACTTAATTTAGTTAATTGAGGGTTTTAAGGTCTCATCATAAACATGTTTAATCCAATTAAACTACTTGGCTTAGGACAACTATTATTCTAAATCATATTAGTAGTTATACGATACTCCCACTATTTGTTTTGCAAATCAAATCAATTTCATAAAACTCCTTTATTTGAGATTTGGGAATATGCGCTACTACTAACGGAAAGCTTTTGCATTTGCTTAAGTTTAGATAAATAGTCATCTATAGGCTTATGAATGATTATGGACTTGATTTCGATCTAACATCTAGCCAAGATGTTGAATCTAAGGCCTTTGGAAGGAGGTTGATTTTATTACATGTCTTAACTACTTAAAACATTCATGGTTGTAATTGGGCGTTGGACCCATGAATAATATAAGTAATCTTAACTTGATTATTCCTTCTCTTAATGTTCCTTCTTCCCTATAACTATTTGAGAATAGAGAACTTGAGATGAAGAACTTAAAGCCCAATGGACTTTAAGGGAATTACATTTGAGATTAAGAGAGAGGAGAGGCATGCAAGCCCCTATTTAATTTACAAACCAATAAATCAAACCTATTCCATTCATCTAATGAATAATCGGCCAATCACAT